CTGCATAACAAAATGGCACCAGAAATCTCTGCAAACAACAGGCCGGAATATTGCAGTGAAATTAAAATGATCAAATCCAATATTAAATGAAACAAAGACACAAATAATCACATTTGATAAACAAATGTGCATTTTTTTCTGTTCTTCTTTCGTATCTTGTCTCCATAAGACAGAATACCGTTATAAAAGGTAACATTTTCTTACTAATATCAGGACCTATGTAATCCTTACCTTCACAGGTATACTTTTGTCAAAGTCAGGGAAGTGAACAATCTTATTTAATTTTGACACATACAAGATAAGTATAGTGGCTGCCATCTAAACAAAAAGAAAAAACAAGAAGTCATATAAGAGCAAAGTTGTATGAATGAAAGAACTGCTTCAAAGACAAAATCTTTATATGCATTTGAACAATGCTAGGTATTACGTATCTCTTTCAAAGACAACACAGCATGCAATTAATAAATGGGAATAACTTCATTCTTTTCAATTTTGCCAGCTATTTATTTAAAAGTAAAATATAGACATATGCTTTACTAGCTTGAGAAAATTGGTGGCATCCTATGAACAAGGCATGCTGAGAAGGAGCTGACAAAATAAAACATGACACGATCCGAGAATAATCATGCTACTTTCACTCAGAGCATTGTTTAGTCTGCAGAATCACTCCTACAGTTTTTTTGGCAATGCGAGATGGGGGTTGTGCATTGATCAGTCTGTTGACAACATGAGGAAGAAATAACAAACATACAGACAGAATGAAGGAGAATATCTGAGCAATCACACATCTTAAGAGCTAATGTTGGTCCCAGGGAGGAAAAAAAAAAGTTAAAATTTTCTTTACACAAAAATACAATAATTGACTATCTAGAGGATAGAGGGGTGGAGTCATGTTCTGCAGACTAAAACATTATACCATATTATATGCCCTTTACAAAGTGTTCAGGGAAATCTTGGAAGGATCAGTCAACAAAAAATGGAAATGACATTGAGGCTTTGGTTCTGCAAAGAAACAATGTCATATCATTGCCCTTAACATGAATTATTGCCACATTTTCCAGTCTTTGGCTTCCATTGCCACATGATGTGTGGTTCCCTGAGCAGTCTGGATGTGTGAAACTCTCTCTCCCCTTCTCACACAGCAAAGACTTTACAAGACGTTTCACTCTCTTCAGTACCAAACAGCAGAGAAATTAGACTTGTAGTACCCTGTTTTCACCTCTTCCTCACTACCCCTTAGCTTGTAACCTTGGCAGAAAGTAAATGCTCTCTTTCAAATGTATTTGCCTAAACAACACCTGCTTCAAGGCTCCATCGTTCCTAGCTGTTACTCTGCAGAGTCATACATTCTTCTTTATAGGCTATTTAGATAAACATTTCAATTTTGTTTTTACTGTGATACCTACTAACAACAGAAATAACAAAAAACATATTTCTGATGCCATGCTTCAAATTGTCTATAGGCAAATAAGGCAACAAAGAACCACAACTGTGTGGTAGTCCTACTGGAAAACTGCTGGGAAAGCAGGGAGAGATTTATGAGATACAGTTTCTCTACAAATAGGGGCAATATCTCTGCATACAATCTACAAATACTTAAGGACTCTCCTAGGATCTATGCACTTGCTAGAACAAATCTTGACAGTTTTGAAGGTCAGATCTCTTAATTACTGAACTCTTCAAGGGGAAATAAATGGCATTTCCAGTCCTTTACGTGGACTCTTCCCAGTCAACAGTTTTGACTTGAGCTGAAACTTCATTGATCTCACTAAAACATATCACTCTTCCTTACAGTGTATCCAACCAAGAAGACGAGAAGTGCAGTGTAACAGAGATTTCCCCCCCCCAAATAAATCTCTATGCTAACATTAGTTTAACTTACAAAATAATGAGTACATTTAGCATGCTTTACTTGTGTACATACCTGTCCAATTCCAAGAAACATTGGTGATGGGAAGCTGAAAAGCATAAACAGATATTTAATACCAAGGAAAGGAAAGGAAAAGAAAAAAGGGGGTAAGGAAAAAAAAGGGGGGAAAAAAAAGTCTAAATTTAGCACCAAAGTCGCAACTAGACTTATGGATGACTGGCCTGTCTTTCAGAAGAGCTCAGGAACTGCTACACTTATTACAGTCCTAATATTTTATCTCTGCAGCAAAATACAGGCTAATTCAAATAATACAGCATATGCACAGCTGATCAATTCTAAATTGCTAATTGTTTTGAGGATATTCATAAGTGGAGGTAACACACTTGGAGAACTCTAACAACGCATAATTTTTTGAGTGGCCTCACATATACACCATACATCTTGAGATGGTATACTAAGTTATAACTCTTGCATTTGCCCTAAAACTTGGAAGCTTATCTCCACAGCCCAAACTCACTAGCAATACGTTTTAGCGAAAGAAAACTACCTAGGTAAATGTTGTAGAAACATCTGTTGTCTGCCAAAACAGCTAAATTCCTACCATACCTCTTCAGTTATCTTTAGCTGAAAGCACGGATACTTAAATGTTAAGAAAGCAGAAACTTTATCAGGACCACTGAAAAGCCTGGGCGCCTCGATTTTTTCCCCTAAATCTATATCAAGTTAAAACCAATAAAGGTGTGGCAGTAACTGCTAATTCTCTGTACACATATTGAAATACAAGCAAAGAAGTTATTTATGATGGATGGCTGCTTTACGCCATAACCAGCAGTGTCTGGAGCCTCTCTGCCCAAAAGCCGTAGGTGTCAAGGAGCTCCCAGCACATAACAGCTCCTGCTGCCTTCCAGGAGTCACGCAGCATTTTGCTGGTCTGCACTGTCAGGGATGGTCACACACAAACTTGCATCCAAAGAATCTAAATAAAACCCATTTCATTCTCTGTGCACATCCGCACTAACAAATGCCTAAGAAGGGTCCACGTTTTCAACAAGCTTTGTAATTTTCCATTATCAAGGTTCCTTGAGGTTGGGGCTATTTATCACAGAAGCCACCATGAACTGCCAAACTACTCCTTGCTGTGCTAAGAAATGTACATCTCAAGTGAGTACCACTGGGATGGGAACATAGTATTCGGAAAAGAAAGAAACGCTCTGAACGGCAGCAGGAAGGCCATAAGGATACTGGAGTCATAAGACAGATCAAGGGTTAGAAGCAGCCACTAGCATAACAG